AAAAAATGCGGATGACATTGAAGAACCCCCTTTCACTCATTGTACGCTGCTTGTTAAACGAGAGGAAGAAAAAAAGACCGACGTTACGCAAAGCAGAGCTTTGAGTTGCTTGTGAAACGCAGTGATGTCAAGTGTTGCTACGTAGGCTTGTTTGGCGCACATTGTGCGCACACGCGTGTACACATGCGAATAGTTGTGCGTCAATGTATACACATTGTGAGCAAGAGAGCTCGCGGTTTCCTTGACAAGAATAAGTTGACACTCACGAAGTGATGGTAACCTTATTTTTTGGAAAGAGGCAAAATCAGAAGAAGTTTCTTAGAAGAAGCTATGTCAGATTAGCGAGCCGAAGTGTATAACGCATCCGCGTTTCTCAATGTATTTCACTCCGCTATTTGGCTGAGGGTGGGATGAGGTGGGAACCCCCTTTTAGTTTTAAGGCCAGCAGGCCTCTACCCACCCCCCCGAAACCCAGGCCGGACCCTGGCCCTTCACACTCACTGTCCTTTGGTGTGGTTCCAGGCCAACCTGCTGCAGTGTGATGTGAATGCGGGCGTGCGACGCCTTACTTGTCAGTAGGTGTGGTCGTTGGCCAACCGGGTAAATGCGGGTGTGCGACGCCTTGCTTGTCATTTGGTGTGGTCGCTGGCCAACCTTCTTAAAAAATGCGGATGACATTGAAGAACCCCCTTTCACTCATTGTACTCTGCTCGTTAAACGAGAGGAAGGAAAAAAGACCGACGTTACGCAAAGCTGAGCTTTGAGTTGCTTGTGAAACGCAGTGATGTCAATTGTTGCTACGTAGGCTTGTTTGGCGCACATTGTGCGCACACGCGTGCACACATGCGAATAGTTGTGCGTCAATGTATACACATTGTGACGTGGCATTTGACCTATCAAACCTGCAGCGACTCGTTTGATAGGAATCTGCTCTTAATGCACCCCTCAAATTTTATACACTCCTAAAACGCGCCTGCAGAAGTTTAAGCTTTCCAACAAGGCTTTGAGTCTGGAAGCCGGAGCCCCGCCAGACTTTTCAAAACGCAAGAATTCATACAAATCTTGTTCGGTAAAAGGGCAGCAACCTCCGGCTTTGTTCAAATGGTTCACGAGCCTGGCTAAACTATTGCACCGCTTCAGCAAAGTCGACGGGGCTTTGTTGAAAAAAAAGTCCACCAAAATCTGCGCCTGAGATGAGACTTGAACTCTTGATCTTCTCAAGGAAGCCGCGAGCTTTGATGGTCAAGCACTTGTCACGAAAGCTAGCATGCTAGCTGAGTTCTTCTTTGCTTTAGCAATGTTGTGGTGGGAGGGGCTGAGCCTTCTGACCTTTTGGATCAGGATAGATGATCTCCTGTTCTAGAGATGTTTCACCCCACCTGTCATAAGTGTTCTGCCCCTGTAGCACTGCTACAGACTGGGCATGAACTGTACCTGTTAAAACCACGGCCTCCAATAGAGCACTCTTATTTCTCCTCAGCCTTGCATAAGCACTCTTATTTGTCCTGCTTTGACTTTTTTCCTCTTTACAATTCTCAGCCGAAAAAGTCCGGTGCGCTTCCGCTAGCTTTCGACCTCCTCCCCCTGGCCTCAAGTTGGCAATCCACAGGGCCCTAAAAGAAGACGCCGAGATCTGGGCCCGGTGTTTCAGTGGCGTGGCCCTTTTCTGCGTGTATGCCAGGGCACGGTGGCGTGATGCGCAGCATTGTGAAAAACTGATTCTAGACAAAGACAGTAAAGGACATGCTGCGTTTGTTGAAGGCCCTGCAGCTGTGCGCAGCACGCTCTGACCCAAGGAGCCCAAGATGTCTGCGACTTAAATCAACAGCAGCAAGCCCATCAATCCTTGCACAGACTCCTTTAGGATGCCCTGCCCAGAGGCAAGAAATACAAGCCCTTGGCGTCCGAGTTTAAACGTTATGCTACCCTTGCATGCATGCCAAACGAACCACGCGTCGAAGCTCTTGTGTCCAAAGCCTTCCCTGCCGGGTCTCAGATAGCTCATCGGCGGCTCCTTCAGTGGGGGAGTATTCGGGCCGAAGACCGAAAGGCTGTCGAAAGCTTCAAATGACCTCAGGGAAGATCGGTAGAGTTGGTGCATGTGGGCGTTCCTAGATCACGGCTAGATTTCTTAGAACGTGCTGCGCAATGCGGTCACCCGCGAGGGCATGCAATTCACTTGCAGAAGTTTGCAAAGTCTTGGAAATGAACATGGAGGACAGATTTCGAGCTGGCCAAAATAAGAGTGAATTTCTTTTCAAACGGACAAAAAGAGCAAAGGAGCTCAAAGAGGCAGAACTCGAATTCAAACAGAAACTTCCAGACCATATGTGCAAGCTTTTGCAAAACAACAAATTGTTACTGATGAAAGAAATTCTGGAAGACTTGCGCTACCCAGACACGCAGCTAGTTGAAGATATCGCGAAAGGGTTTCCGCTGACAAGTTGGTTGGACAAGTCCAACGTTTTGCCGGTTAAAACCAAGAGACCCCAGTATGATGTCGAAACTTTAAAGATGCTTGGGAGAGGCTTGAACCAGAACATCAAGCGACAGGTCGACGAGCTGAATGACCTAGATGAGGTAAATCAGCAAGCATGGAAGCTGACTTTGGATGAAATAGACAAGGGCTATGTGTGGTTCGACGATGAGTCGAAGCTTGAGGAAGTGGCATTAGCCAAGCGTTTCGGACTTGTCCAGAAGAACAAAAATTAGAATGATCGACGACTGCACTGTGGGGGGAATTAATTCCACTGTCGGAGTTGTTGAGAAGTACCGCGTTCATGCCATTGACAAAATAGCTGCCTACATAGCTAGGTGCCTAGACTACGCAGAAACTTGTGGCTTGAAGGCAGACATGCTTGGACGCACTTGATTTGAAGTCTGCTTACAAACAGTATGGAGTTAGGAAGACCGAGACCTGATTAGGCTGGTTGTGAGGGACATTGACAGCGGGGCCGCGGGGTCTGTGAGGCTTCCTAAGAGTAAGTATGGCTGTCTGATACATAGGCCTGATGGGCTTGAAACTTCCCTGGTGCGCATACTTTGATGACTACACACTGATAAGTAAGGCTTCCTAGGCCAGGAACGCTGGCTTTGTTGTTTGACCTTCTGGGTATAGAGTTTGCAAAAGAAGGGTACAAAGCTACGGAGTTTTCTAAGCATTTCAAAACTTTCGGCGTGCAAATAAACCTAGAGGAGTTTGAGCAAGGTGCCGTTTACATTGGACATACGGAAGAAAGAAAGCAAGAACTAGGGCCTGTTTTGCAAGACTTACTCGCAGGAAAAAAGGTGAGCTCAAAGCAGGCTGAGAGTTTGAGAGGCAGAATGCACTGGTTTGAGTCTTTCGCTTTTGGCAGAGTAGCTAACAAAGCAGTGCAAACCCTGGGCCAACTTGCATTGAAGCGCAGAAAAGCCAACGACTTGAGTACCGAAGAGTTGCGCGACCTGAAATTTCTTCGAGACAGAGTTCTTCAAGCGCCCCCCCCTAAGATAACTCGTTCTTATTTGACATCTTGGATAGTTTTTACAGATGGGACGTGCGAAGGATCCGATAGAAAAGTGGGGAGCGTGGGTGGTGTGCTTGTCTCTCCATCAGGGACTTGTGTAGAATTCTTTGGATGTCTTGTGCCTCCAGAGGCCATGTCTGTCTTCCTCGAATTGTCCAAAAACCCGATCTACGAAATGGAAGTGCTGCCAGTCTTGATTGCCATCAAGCTGGGGGCTCGTATGAGAGGCTTGCAGGTTGTTTGGTACTTGGACCTCGGCGCCACGGCTATAGCAGATCACTTGGTTCAACAATATGTAGATTTAGAGTTTCAGCTACAACTGAAGTCTTGGTACGCCAGGGTACCTTCCGCTTCAAATCTAGCTCATGATCCCAGTCGCCTGAAGTTTGATTTGCTCCTGTCTCTTGGTGCCAGACCAGTCGAGATTGGAGGTCAGTCTTGGGTTGTTCGAAGGAGTGGTCGGCTTTAAGGGGTGAAGACGGGACCACTGGATCGACTCCCCTGTGCACACAGAAAAAAAGAGAGACCGCAGTGTTGGCGTGAACGTTTAAACGTGAAACCCGTGATGTGCATGTCAGACTTGCTGTGTTTGGTTGCTTCTTGTTGTCTGGTTTGCGTCGTAATTAAAAAACAAGTAAACTTGACAAACAGCCGCACAGGAAAATCAAGAGTAAAGCTATACATGGACCAGCAGGTAATGGTTCACCGGCTCTGCTGCTAAGAAACCAGTGGACGCTCTTAGCGTGCTAAGATTGTAACCTTATTTTGTAAAAGTAGAAAACTATTGGCAATCAAAAGTTAGGTGAACAGACTTTGTGACACATCGTCACAGGATTTTTGACCGTCGTGACCACCCTGTCCGCCACCCCCGTCGCCATCTCCGACAGCACTCCCTCCCGACGCTCTCCCGGCCGGCGCCCCTGTGCCCGTGCGGACGCTCTTGGCTTGAGGCTGCCCCCCGATGCTCGTTTGCCACGCCGCCGCCGCGGCTGCCGCCCTTCCACCTCCACCTTCGTGCCCAGCTTCCTCGCCCCGGCTGATCGGAAAGCGCCCCTCTTCGCTTGCAGGCCCCCGTGCTGGCGAGCCGAATTTTGTGTAGCTGACCCCGGCCCATGCGTCCTGTTCTGTTTGGTTAGCGCCTCCGGCGCCGCCAGCCTCGCTTGCTCGCCGCACGTCACCACTGCTTCAGAAAATCTCGCCTGTTTTTGTCACATTCCTTGTTGCACCCGCCGCACTGCGCGTTGGGCTGTGTAGAGTTGCTGGACGGCGGGTATTTCATCAAAATTTTCCACCCGCATGCACCATGCAAAAAGGTTTCCTTGGTCGCCTGGTGTGTGTGGTGGCGTTTTTAAACTTCTTTTCTGTGCAGAATGGTCTTGAGCAGGTGCCAATGACCCCAACAGCTTCGTTTGAACCGCGCCCATGAGACCATGCGTGAAATTTGAAACCAAATCACATGAAACAAACGCATGGTCTTCAGAGTTTCTGCTGCAGGCCGCTCAATGTTGGAACTGCATCTCATGGGCGGCGGCAACAAACCTACCTCCGCAGTGCGGGAAAGCAAGCAGGCAACATATCGAGTTGAAACAGGGACACGCCTGCAACAGCTGCCCCAGCTGATGTGTCTTGTGCGGCTTTAATGCAGGCGCGGACAGTTCTGAAGAGCAGGCAGGTGGGACTTGGATCACTTTAATTTTTCATGTGAGGTGTCCGTTACGCTGCTACCATGTCAGGTGCGCCCACGTCGTTGGTGGGGCCTTGGTTTTGTGGCTGCTGCTTTGGCAGCTTTGCGCTTCCGCGTGCAACCTGCCAAGGCGTTTCCCTCCCGCATATCCTATTTGTTTGGAAGATACTGTGGTGTGGGCGACTGTTTTATCTTAGAAAAGATCTCGCAGGCAGAGTCTTATCCAGTGCAAGGTGCCTTGAATTGGCTATGAGTCTTGTGTGGGACTGTTGTCCGACATGCGTTTCGGGGTTCCGGGGAGGAAATGAAGAACTGATGAAGCAGAAGGCTCACGGAACGACTGAGTACCCAGTCCAGGACTCCATGCCACAAAGGCTCCATATTGTTTGGCAAACAGTAAGTGACCCACCCTGTGAATGCAGCACGTTGTTTGTGGAGGAAGTGTTGCGGTGGGACGTTGATCGCGGGACTGCGGACAGGCCAGGAAAATGCTAACAATGACATTGTTAAACCAGACGGTTGCAGATACAGACAATAGAATCTTATAGGATGTTGTACTAACAAAACCGCAGATTGCAGGCATGCTGAAATTTTCCGTTTCATCGTGGAGAGCAGATGTGATTTGCCAGGATTTGCTCATACAATCGTCACTTTGCAGAGTATGCTGGGTACTGGAGTACGACCAAATTCCTCAAGCAAGTTAACCGTGAGGCCGACGCTGAACTGGTTTGCATCATTCAATTATATAGGTGTTTTTTCTAATCCGTTTAGTGATTCATGGCACGCCGCCATGGATTCGTCCTGAGCTGCCAGGGCGAAACTTTCTACGACTCAGTGTCAGGAAAACCTTTGTTCGTGGCACCCAAAGGCAGGACCTGGAAGGAGTTTGAGAAGGCCAGACAAGAGACGAGTCAGTCATTCCTGTTCAGCAGTCTGCAGGGGTTCCTGATATCAATTTGTTTTCGATTTTGGTCGGATCTGGACCGATTGACAATGCCATTCAGAAAGGGTTCCTTGGAGGAGTCGTTCGTGCATGGATGGCCATCATTCCGGGATGAGGAGTGATCGGGACCATAGACCCCAACAATTCAGTCAATGCGTTCTATGCACCTCGCATCACGCTCTTTTAAACATCGATTGTCAATGTTTCATTCTCGCGGGGTGCTACCCCTGATCCACGATGCAAGGAGGTGATTTGGGAAAATGTTCGCTGCTTGCCTGGTGGTGAATGTGTTTCAATTGACGGCACTCACCTTGGCCACAACATTCCTGCAACTTGGACGCAAATGGCATTTTGGTGCTGTCATATGGCAGTTATACGGATTTCAAAATCATTGGAAATTGGAAGCCTCATTCTTCAATTGGGCGACATGAGAGCAAGACCCTGCCTCATCCCCATTGCGTTCTGTACTGCAGCTGCAAGAGCGCCGCTGGTGAAGCAAACATATTGGAACTTGGAACCTTTCTGTTTTCATTCCAAGGACTTCCAAGGAAATCGCTACTGCATCAATTTGGTGTCCGTAGCTGGAAACCCGCCAACTGTTTGAATGGAATTCTGAAAGGGCAGGTAGTGCTTGACATCAACGATGCTGCCTCGTTGGGCTTTGATGTTTGACCTGGTGCAGGTGTATGTAAATGCAGCTGTGGGTTCATTTTTGAGGGGTCAACCAGGTAGTGGGGATTTGGCTGATCCACAGCCATGCTTTGATGTGGAGGGCACTTGCATTGTGCCTGTCAGACTTGCATATCGGTTTGCCAGCTCAAGTCTTGATGTCATGTCAGCTCCTGTACTTTCAATGGCTACGAGATTGTCAAGCTTAAAGCTTTGCGTCCTGGGCCAGCAAGACGTTTGCAAGAATCTTCATGCCTGCAAAGGCGAGTTTTCGCAGACTGAACGGCCACAGACAGTTGCCGCTGCCTACCTAACGTGCCACCAGCACAGTCTGTACCACACCGATGCCGCGCTCTCGCGTGAAGAACTTGCTTCTCAAATGACATGTATTTATATATATATATATATATGTGTGTGTGTGTGTGATGCATCAGGAAGAGATGCTTAGCAACATGCTTTGGTTTTCTCCATGGCCTATGGTTTTGCAGCTTTGGGCTCAGTGTTTCATAGCGGGTGCGGCTTTCAGGGGCGGCACCACAAGGCGTGTCGTGGTGTGGAATCCCAGACGGTTGTGGCGCGTGATCATCGTGCCGAGCAGGTGGGCTCCATGGCGAAACGATGCAGCACCCGGGCAGTGATTCAAATCTTTGTGACAGGTGCCCACTGTCTTGTCAAGCAAATTGGCACGAAATATGTGTGTTCTGATGCTCTGGTTCTTGGGCTTTGTCTGGGGCAGGTATGTGCTTGGCAACTGCCATTACTTCCTTCACATTTGCCTTTGTGTTCGAGCAGTTCATGGACCAGTTGTGCTCAACTTACTTGTTTGCCTTTGACAGCTCACAGCTGCCTCTTTTTCCCGTAGTGCATTTTTGGCGAGCTGAGGACTGAAAACTATCGGGGTGAACTGCGGTCTGAAAATTTGCCTTGCATAAGACACTTGGCTTAACATTGCTTCCGACAAATATGCGCATATCATATAGAGAGGCATATCTATTTCTACATGCACATAGACCGGGTCAGGCCAGGTTAAGCAAAGCACCTTTTCAATCTCGCCTCCGAGTTCAATGGTTGGACAGTTTTGTTGTTCACCAACGCGTGTTTTTTCTTGATGTTTGCTTTGTGACTTTGTTTGCCTGTTGCCTTGATGACTCTTGATGTTGAAGCAGGTTGCAGGGCCATGCAGGCTCTATTCTTTTTCTGCCAGTGTCGTCCCGGATTTGTCCCACTCATGCGACCGCCAAAGGAAGTACGCTGGACGACTGCTCCAATGCAATAGAGGACAAATGCCTTGAACCCAAAAAGGGAACTCTCGGTCTTCCGGCAGCTTTGCTTCGATTAACTCGCAAAGCAGTCCTGAGGCTGGGACCCCTGCTGTCCACCTGGTTACTTCTGCGCCAGCCTCGAATTATTGTTAGGGGAGACACTTGTGTCCTTGGCACGAGAATGTGCAGAGGCATGCTTTGTCCCGTCAGGCTCACGCTCACCCATTGTGGGCCTGTATTGTCAGGATGGGTTGACGACATGCCGGAGGCTAAGATCATTCCCACCGTTGCTATAGAAACAAAGATAGGGCCTCCTTCGATGCGGTCCGGGTTTAGGTAAAGGCCTTGTCAAAGGGGGCCTTACCTTCTTTTTCCTATTCTTTTTGGTGCGATTTGACGACACCTAGGCGGTGATCCCAACTGGTGCCGGGACTTCGCTGACATCTCCCGAACTTGCCTGACGCCAGTGTGAGTGCTCAGCGAAAGGACAACTGCTTTGACTTGAAGAGGCTACTTAGTATATAATTTCTGTGGCCTGAAGGTGTGCAAGACAAATACAATGATCACTCGAATAACCGCCTGGTCGTACATTCTTGTGGGGGCCTCATCCTGCGCGAGAGTTTGTAAACGTGCTGTGAACCAGCGAAGGTTTGAAGGTTTGAAGGATTGGACAAGGTCAACTCTGAAAAAAAGAACAAATATATATATATAAAATTAAAGGATTACAGCAACCAAGGATGTTGCATCGGACGCCCTCACTTGCACAGCCTAGCATTACTAGCATTTCTGTTGTCCTAGATTCTTACTTACTGTAACCTCACCTGAGGCGGCTATCGGGATCTTCTTGGATTTGGTTGATATCATCACCATTTTCACGCTGCAGATGGCTTGGAGTTTGTTGAATAGTGTTGTGCACTTGGTTTGCTTGGAAGTTGAGTCAATGCATTTTGATGATGTGCTCGATGTGCAACAAGAACGCCTGAGTTGCAACTGCAAGCGTTGAAGCTTGATTCCCTTGTTGTCGAAGCTGGTTCTGGCCTGTTGATGCAGACGCCAAGGCCAGATGCCGTTGTTTTCAAAGCAGGCACCAACGTCTTCTCAAGCCTAGTGAAGTGGCTGGCTTTTGGTCTCGTAGTGCCTCAGTTGCAGGAGTTTTTGCATGTTGCTTTCACATTCCAGCTTGCACGATGCAAGGTCGGCGCTGGCACACAAGGTTTCATGTCAGAGCTGGAGCAGGCTTTGTGTGGACGTTTGAACAAGCCACAGGTTTGGATTGTGCTGCAATGCAATGCAGAAACATTAATAGGCACAGGTTCAGTCCATTTCAGTCCATTTCGCAAGACTGCAGGCCAGGTGTTTCAACGATGTCGGCATGCAGCTAGTGGCAGACGCTTGGGACCTAGTCATGGGCAACAGAGCAGCGTGCGATCAAGAGATTTCTTTCTGGCTGACAAAATGCATCCGAAATGTTGGAGTCGAATTCACTTGCTGTCAAACGACTTTTTGCGATGAAGGAGAGAGGGTTTTCATGTCTCATGGGTTTCTTGCAGGCTGGGGGCCTCTTCGTCTCCTATGCCATTGTGCAGGTGGTGTAGGACGCCTCAGCTGAGTCAGCAGCTTTTCATGCCTTCGACGCACTCGTCCTCGGTAAGGTCGGCCACACTGTCCTTGGTCCTGGCACCTTTTTCAGCATACTTTGGAGGAAAACTGCAAGGGGCGTGTAGCCCAGTGGATGGATTAAGGATGTTTGATGTTCCGACGTTGCTCGCTCCCACGACAGCCAAAGCGCCGAGGGCGAAGTGCCTTACGTCAAGTGATCTGTAGAATGAGTGTTTCACCCATTTCGAAGGGGTGGCATAATTGCCAATGTCACCAGAACAAATTGCGAAGTTCTGTGCTTAGGCTGTGAAGTGGAAGAGATCTTCAACACATTGATAATTGGCACACTATATGTCCTGTTTGACTCATTTGACTCTTCGAGACTTTGACCTGTTCGTCAAAGCTGCGAGCAATGAACGGCAGCGTTGCAGCTGGGATGTTTCACTCGCGCTTGCGAAGCAGCGCAGTAGCTCGCCTGTGTCCATTCAGACCTTTGCAATTGCATCACGCATGCTTCAGAGTTCAGGGATGTCCTCGGCATTGCAGAGCCGCCCAGATATGCCGAAACATGCCGAAACTAATTACCTACCGAGCAAATGTACATTATCACGCCATCTAGTGTGACATAGCACTGCGTGAAGTGAGGCCATGCGATCCACTCATGACAACTCTTTCTGGATCTTTTTTCCACCGTGAGAGATCTCAGTATTCTCTTTTATCTCCTTGCGTTCTTTCATGTCCTGAGCACTTTAAGGCTCTCCTCGAACTGTGCCATGCATCTCTCCTGTGTGCATTTCAGCTCACTCCTCTCACATCGCTTCACCACGCCTGAATGCCATGAACCTCTTGAAATTTGGATTTCAATCGTCTCCATCGATCTTCGGCATATCCACTTTGCCGTGCGGTTCCTGATTCCCAGGCACAATCAAGGGGTCACCCAGTCTTCACCTTGTAGTGCGCACCCAAGTCGTCCATCGTTGGCCCACGCACACAAATAGATAGAGAGATCGATATGTGTATATATATATCTATAAACATAGATGTGTGTATATATGCCGTATGGAACTGTATGTATGTATAAGTGTCAATCGTTTATTTGAGTGAGCACAGGATCAAAATTGTAGACCGCGCCGTGGATCTAGTCATGAACCGTTTAACTGCAACTGCAGGTGGAAAAAACTCAGAATGCAGTGGTTCCTAACTCGAGTTTGTTGAATGTGCGGGTGCGTCGAAGACATCATATGCAACCGACTTCAGCGTATACAATGCCTGCATGTACCAGCAGGTTGCACGCACGGACATGAACACATATCCAAAAAATATTTCATAGGTAGGCGTGTTTGATGGTTGTTGGGTCGAATGGCGTTGCCCTTTTTGAGTTCGCCTCCTTGTACAGAGGGACTTGGCAGCGTGAACCAGTCGCGCAGAGCGGGATGGATGCCTGGTGTAGCCCCAGTCACTTGCAGCAACATCTTCAGAACATGCTGTGAGCTCCCAGGCATTCTTGCCCAACCCAGACGAAGCCGCGTAGGCAAAAGGGTTAGCGATTAGTCAGGCTTCAGTTTCTCCCAACTTTGCGCAACTAAGAAAAGTTCCCGACTTCTGTCCCAAGCTGCTGGACTTGCTCAACGGTGGTCTGCATTGCAACTCTTTGCGAACCAACCCCACTAGGGTCTGGGGGGTGTTCTTCTTTTTGAAGTCCAATTCTTAGGATTGACATTTTTTGAGTTTGTTTAGAAGCCTAAGCGCAACAGTCAGTACAGATCTGGCAGTTTACATGATTCTATCTTAAAGAAAGTCCAAGTTTCAAGCGGTGTCTCGGGACTGTGAGCCATGGTATCTCAACGTTGGTCGGCGGGCCAGTCCAAAGGAAATGTTTGGGATGCCTATAGCAAGGTTGGCACAAAAGTGAGCCCTACAGCTGAACCAGTAGCACTTTTTCTGCTTTGCTTAAGTTATATATTCACCAAGCTCTTTGTTTTGGATACTGAAGCACTTTGTCCTCGAAACTTGTTGAGTGGGTGCTTTCAGCTGACTCACTGTGTCCACCATGTTCAGGTGCTGGAGGTTTTGGTTTTGTCACCAAAGCCGCTTCAGCAGATGGCGCTCACTATGCCATCAAGGCGGGGTCAGCTGGGCCAGCCTGCGAGAGCCCAAAGAAGTTTTTTGACCGACAAGATGTGGCAATCACATTGTGTACAATGCATTGACGAGCCCCAACAATAAGGCAAAGTTGTTGCAACATTCTTTTTCTTGGACGAAGTCTAGTACCTCAAGAGCTTTAGATGAAACTCTGCATATGCAGCCTGAAATCATACACGGTTAATCTTGTCCGCTGACTGGCTGCCTTCGGCTGCCATGTCCTTGCGCATGCCCCAGTGATTTCATTTGGCCCAGTCGGTCCCAAAGCTTCCCGAGAGCAAGTCCAAGCGGCGACGCACTGCCGAACGACTGCAGCAGGAGGCGTCGGGTTTCTGCAGTCTGAGAGTGCGACAGTGTTCGGGGCAGAAAGGAGACAATCTGAGAGAACTTCCGTGGTGTTTGGCAGAAGCACGGCGCAAATCACTGAATCTTGTGTAATCTGGAGGTGGCACTTATGCGACGTGTTCAACACCCACAGCACGTGTCTGGGGCTTCCAATTCAGGTTCAGGCTGACCTGACACCAGGCACACAACAGCTCAGTCAGTCCGGTATGCAGATTCCTTCAGATTTTGTTAGTTTGTTTCCGCCAGAAATGAGCAGCCCAACAATTCTTCCCTCTTTCTTTGTTGCTTGCTGCAGCACTTTTCCGAGATGGCAGGGTGCCTACGCAGCCCATGCTTCCGTTGTAGTTATTGCAGTGCAATGTGCACTTTCACAGCTATAAAAAAAGAATATATATATATACACATATACTGTACCAATTATCTGCTTGTGAATCCTTAGGCATTTTGTGCATACATTTTTAGTAATTTTTATAGAGAAGTGGAACCTAGGGACCAAATCCTGGTCATTAACTCGTGCAGGTTAGTGAGGCTCCTTCTTTACAGTTCCATCGACAGTCCCCACGAGCTTGGACCGCAGAAGGTTTGATTACAGCAGAAGTTGTGCTACTGAGGTTGTGAATCTGCATGAGACCTTTGAGGATGAGCACTTTGTTTACTTAGTGATGGAGCTATGTCAGGGCGGGGAGCTAGTGACTTGGCGAAGTATGCCGAAGGCTGCCAGAGGTGATTTGTCAGTAATTTGTCATTATACAAGTTTGGTCTCATCATTCTACCCTATGAATCAAGTTGCCTCAATGACAATTGTTTCCCTACCATTGGTCAGACTGTGGAAGTGCATTTGGGATCGCCACACACTTGGGAGAACATGACGTTTGTGAGGCGGCATTTATCCTGGAACAGGGGAACCACACTGAATTCCAGGTAGCACTGGTCATGCGTCAGGCTGGCTACTGTCTGGGCTTTTAGATTTTTTCTCAGTTGGCATAAGAATTAATTACGGCACTGCACCAGAGAGAGGACTTTCAGTATTATGTGAAAAACCCGCAGAATTTTCAGAAGCCCGCCTTCCTTTGGCCTAGCTTAACCACTGCTCACCCCACCCTCGTTTTCTTTCCCTCGAGACGCGGCATTCATTCCTAATTCCTAATCTTCAATCATCTGGAAGGCTTCAACTCAATTTTTGTGGTAAAGACGTGTTCTCCTGAGCACACTTTTCGTAGTGTTTATATACTGCACAATCATGTCTGAACCATTCTGAACCACTCTCTCTTGGCCGGATGCGAATCACAAAGTGGAGAGGTTTTTGCAGCAGTGGCATTCTTGCATAGCTGCAACGTTTGCCATCGGGACCTCAAGCCTGAGAACCTTCTGTTATTGCATCGGTGCCGCATCCAGGATAATGTGCTGAAGGCGGGTTCTTGTTATTTTTGCCTCATATGTGTGGTGTATCAAGCGTGGACTGGGTCGTAAATGTGATAGATAGTGTGATTGCACAACTTGAGTCTTTTTGCCAAGTGGCGATTCTTCCGTGGCACCCAGAACGCACCAAGACCTTGGACCGGTGAACGCACCAGGTGGCGGACTTTGGCTTGGCCGCCGTTTGCACTTCTGGGCTCCAGGGCGTTGCAGGAACTTTGCCGTACATGGCACCACAGGTGCTTTCATAGGATGGTACCGGTGGTCTCGTGGCAGCGTGCTTTGGCTACTGTAACTCCTTGTGACTGTGCTTCCGCAGCATCGTGGGAGGTGCTGACTGGTCGGTATGACTTGGCCGTTGATATGTGGAGCTGTGGGGTCATCATGTATTTATTGCAGCTCGACCTGCAAGTCTTTGTTGCGCTGAGCAGTGGAGCAGGTGTTTTGGAGAGTTGCGCTCTGTCTAGTTTGTTCACTCAGCTGGGAGCTTCTCAACTGTGCCAGGCTTTGTGGCTACCCTCCTTTCTGGCATGAGTTTGATCCTCAGAAGACGGAGATGACCATCCGGCGTGGCAACTTCGCCTTCCCAGAGCAGGCTTGAGATCAAACGAGCCTCCTGTGAGCTTTGTTCCAACCAGCTGCAGCTTTGCATCGCTTGCATGGTCTGACATTTTTTCTTTAGCACCACGTCCAGTCGAAACAGGACTGGGGGAGTGTCTCCGAAGAAGCCAAAACACTGATTCGAGGGCTGCTAAAGATGCAACTTGGCTCTTTTGGTGCCATACGTTTCAGAGGAAGCCAGACAGCCACATCATACCTTTTGTGTTCTTGATGTTTCAGAGGCAGCCAACGGAGCGCTTGGCTGCAAAAGAAGCTTGCCAAAATCCTTGGGTGATGCGGTCCTCCAACGACGCAACCCGGCCACGCTTCAGTATGTTTCAGTTATGCCTTGGATTTTGCAATCGCTGGTTAAGCTGTAGCCTTGCAGTCTGAGCTTCTTGAGGTATCTCTGTCTCCAGCCTTGACACGGCTGCGAAAGTTCCTAAAGGCAATGTACGCCACCCAGGTGCAGTCTGCCGAGGCCAATGTTTAATTTGGATCCATCACAGTGGCAATCTGAGGTTACAAATTTGTACGCATATTTGCCTTGCTTACCTGCCTGTTTGCTACTGGCTTCTGTCAGGATTTGTTGGGCAATGATTCGTCTACTTGGAGAAGCTTGTACCAAAGTGTTACAAGCTGGTTTGAGTTTAGAGCACCCAGTTTCTTTGCAGGGCCCTCAGCACATCAATCGATTCGTGCAACATGCACATTTGGAATTGGCATGTCCATAGATGCGATGCGGAGGCACCTTGTTGCAACCAGTCTGCCGGGATCATGGAGGAGGCAAGGTCATGCTTTCAGAACGTCAGTGCGGCCGGCCATGACAACTACCAGAGTTGCCAAAGACTCCGAAGCTCAAATGGAGTTCCTGCAATCTGTCAGGTGCACTTGGTGCCATCAGACATTCAAGCAACTGGATTCGCGATTGGAATGAGACTCTGCCAAAACAAGGTTGTTTGACAGCGAATGCACTACACACCAACAGGATTAGGATTGACGAATAGTATTTTTGAACATTTAGTACATCTAGTAGCACGAGCCGCCATGTACCAGGACTTTTCGCCAGTAGAGGGGCAAACCAAAGTTTGGGCAACGTATCATAAACATATTTGGCCAAGCTTTCCCATGGCAGCATGTGGAACCTTGACCTCTGAGGAGGGTCTTGTACAACTCGCGGACACATCATCGCTGGCTGCCGACCGTGATTGTGGATCTGAACGACCATGGAGATTCCTGGCTGCACCGGGCAACGCATAATTGCATGCCTGGCACTTTCTCCCAATGCACGGCAGGGGGAATCACCTAAGGCATGACTCCCGTGTCCTTTTTGTTGCTGACAGGGAGTTTGCAACAGCTTTGCCAGTAGGACAGGACTTTTTGCAGCAAAAGGATGTGTGTTGGGTGCGACGGTTGGTGACAGAAGGGCAATTCCCAGAACTTGGTCCCTACAGGTGGTAAAATCATCAAACGCTTGCGAATCCATCGTTTTTTGCCATACTCTGAGGTTATTTAGGGTGATTCTTGTCGATGGTGCGGGCTGCGTTTGCTAGGTTGGGCAGAGTCAACAGCAGGAGTGTGTTTTGGTTGAGGCCACATTAGATATATTCTAGTATATAAATCCAAACTCTGCCAGCCGCACTGTATCATGACCTGATGCCACAGAGCCTTTTTTCATTTTTTTGGCTTCAGCGGTTTTCTGCTCAGGATGTGGAGCTTGAGATCAAGCCTCGTGTTTGGATCAGCCCCAAAGAGCAGTCGACACTGCTGCGCTCCGTGGAGTCTGTCAGGTTTTAGGTCAGAGCAGACATTTCTTTGAAGCGTGTTTTAGTCGTAGTCTTATATATTCGGAAATGACAGTTTTCTTTGCGGTCTTGTATGTTGACCTGCTTTGTCTGCTCAGACTTCTCGATTAGGATTTGCACTGTCTCAGAGCCTTGTGGTATTTCGTCGATCGTAGCTGCCCATTGGGGATGCCATTGCACGTTTGCATAGTGGCCAAGAAAAGTGTGCTTGTGACCGGCCTCCACACATCCTCGCTTCGCAGTGAAAACAACATTGACATCAACGCATACACACATTAATATCAATATAGATTAATTTATATACTGTATATACATATATATATATCTATAGATGCATAGATAGCCGAAGACATTGTGCAGACCTTGGCCTTTGTAGGTCCAGCTTGCAAGTACAGTGCGTTGTGTTGCAATGCAATGCAGAATGCTTGCGAGCAACTAAGTAGGATTCATCACGGATGGTTTTTATGGCAGGTGTCACAGGCGGTTAGGGACTGTGAGTGCTGGCCTGGGGGGTGTAACCTTGTTCCCTTAGGGTAGTTTCCTTGCGTCAACCTTGGCCCATGGTGGGTAGATTTGACCTGGCCGTTGATATCTCGGATAACGAAAGGTAGCCTAAGGGCTACCTTGAGTTTGCTTTGCGAAGCAAACGGGTATATAGCTTGAACAGCCTGCTCGGGACCAAATATTGATACATAATGATATAATGTTGATCAACTATTGATAAATCAACCATTTTGGTGACCCCCCCCCCTCATGCTCTACACAAACGGCGTTGACGCAACACAGCCTCTACGCAAATGCATGTTGACAAACCTCACCACACCACATGTTGTAGCAACCTCTCCTCGCGACCCAGGGCCACTCTTATGCGTAGCGTGCATGTGACATACGACCGCATTTGCGCAGCACAGTTTTGGCACCAGGCAGCTCTTGCGCACCACAGCTCTTACATACACCAGTGTTGACAAGCATCCACGTGCGCCACACCACACCATATGTTGTAGCAACCCCGGTCACTCTTATGTGGGGCGCGCATGCGACATACGACCGCAAGGCACAATTTTGGCACGCAGCTTTTACAAATCACGTTACACAGGCCTCGCGGCTTTGATTTATTCCTGGTGACTCTCTACCATTCGTGTTTCATCGTGTTTCCCTGTCTCAAGTGGCATAGTGAAAAATTTCACGTACTGCACCGCCTTTTTCGTTTCTCTTTTTCAGCAGTTCTTGCGCTTTGTGTGGTATTTACGGTCTTTCCAGATGCCCGCAGGGCCCCTGGAAAGAGCATGGGGAAGTCGTCATTTGGTGCACAACAGTTGTCATCCAACTCAACAGGAGTTGGCATCAATTGGACATATTATTCAATTGGGGTGGGTGGGTGGGGGTAACTCGCAGCAGCACGGAGTCTCATCTTTGATTTCACAGAAGTTGCCATCGACTTCATGGGACCTGTCATCGATGTCACAGAAGTTGACATCCAGTTCGCTGGGACTGTCATCGGTTGCACAGGAGATACAGAAGTTGTCATCGAATATATACGCGGAAGTTTTCGAACTCAACTTCGTATTTCTCCCCCAGATGGAATGAAACAGCAAGGCTGGTGGAAATAGTAGATTCTGGGGCAGAGTGTATCAATGACTGCACCGACATACTTGTAGTAGCTGTCCTAGTGCTGCTACAAGTGAAGACAGGCACAAAAATCCAGAGGCAAGGCGTGATGACCAATCAATCAAAGAGTCCGAGAAGAATTGCGTCAAAGTGTGGGAGCTTAGCGTAACTTGTTCTCAAAACCCGTTTCTAAAAAATCGCAAAATTCAAGAGCATTAAAGCAAACACACGGCTGTTTGGGGCGTGTCGCCAAGTTTGGGGTGACTCATTGCCATAGCAGCCCACTAGACTCTAGACATCAGCTTGTCTTCAGTGACCCTTTGCTACTAGTAGTAGTGTCCTCTTGTTACTAGTCGTAAGGGCAGGAGCTACTAGTAGCAATGCCCTTGGTTACTGTACTAGTAGCTTCTTGTTACTAGTAGCAATGGCTTCCACATCTTTTTCATTCCACGTTAAATTTGTCTTTCTTTTACAGTATATCAAGCAGGTCGCTGGGTTTTTTTCTGCACGGCAGTCTGGACGCTCTTAACAAACACCGTTGCCGTCCAACCATCCCTTGGGCTTCCTGCTGTAGGCATTGGGAGCAAGGGTTTGAAAACACATGGTTGGCCCAAGTCTTTGCACTTTTGCCACTGAGGTTCCTTGGGCTTATCACCCTTGGAGCCGTATTGACAAACAATAAGGCAAACTTTTGAAGCGGCTTGTTGCCGTTTGGCTTTCTTTCCCCTTCAACTAGTATTCACCGCTGCTGCAGGAACAGAACCCAACGGCCACTAGTGCCGAATTGTTCGGCACGACGACGTCACCACTGACTGGACCCTTCTTCGTGGCAGATTTAGAACGCTTGGACACCTCTGCCCAGGCGACACGGCGGGCCTTCTGATGTCATACCCAGGACGACCATGGCCGGATCTCTTACAGCTCCTGGATAAGTCGCTTTCTTCTTTCGGAAAGGTAGCTTCTGAATCTCAACAGTTCTGGCCTGCTTTTTTCCCTGTGCTGACTGCCTCTCCAGTTTCTTCTCTTCGATTGTGCTTGGTTGCTTCCCAGCGAGCTAAGTTGACGGCGCTCGCGCTCCCAATGAAAATGGTGCGAACTTTTGTCCGGTTGGGTTGGGCCAAGCATGACTCGGCAACCCTATCATGTTTGCATTGTCTGGTCTGGTTTACGGTTGGCATGCAATTCGTGAAGAAAATTCTTGAAACACTCCCAAGTAGAACCGAACATTTGCTTCTGAGATTTCAAGGAGGCGAATCAAACAAAGAAGCCTTTCAAATGTCAAAGCACTTTGCAACGTTCCACTGACACGCATGTATACAATACATAAAGTCATAGTTTTGTGAGAAGAATTGTAAGCAGGTCTGAAACGATCTGGGTGTAGTGATTCAAGTGCTGAGGCGTCCCTTATCCAAGTGCGGCCGGCGTTCCAGCTTCAGGGACACAACTCAAATCCTTTTTTGACTGAACAAAAAATCATGAAAATAACAAAGTAGCCGCGCACAATATGACGCAAAGGAAGTCATGGTGTGTTATCAGCGTATCATGCTCGAAACATGTGGAAACCAATTAAGGTACATAATTGAACCAATGAAACCTGAGTGTGGGTGCATCTCAAAACTAGAAATTCAGACTAGCCCTGAATATTCTAATGATGTTGTTTCTTGATTTGGGATGGTGTAGTTTTCAGTGGTGGTAGTTTTGCGCACGTGCATTTTGCACTACAGACTATATAAATTCCCCCCGACCCAAAGGCCACTGACTGACCGACCTTTTGTGTAGTTACGTTATCCCATACATTGCAGGAAGACATTCATAGTCATAGTCATAACGGTTGCGCCCCTTGATTGATTGCCTTGGCTGCAATGGCTGGCGCGAAAGAGGTTTTATCCCTTGTGATCCTGATTTCTGCCTTGATGGACGTTGCATTCGTTCGGTTGGGATTCCATATCAGGAGATTGTGCTGGTATATACTGTAACACCTCATAACTTTGGAGGGCCTGTCCCTTCCACCTTGTGCAGGAGCCAAAGAGGATTTTGCTTAAGGAGTTTGTCCGAGGCACCGTATGGTAACAAGAGTATGTCGAGAAAAAACTTTATGACGCAGCCTGCGGTCATTTCCAGCAATTTGGTTGACGGTTGTCCTGTTGGGTTAGGTAATTTTAGTTTTTGATGGCTCTATATATACCTTAGCATGCATTTGATGAGGTTTCAGCTAGGGTACGCGAACAAGATGCCAGGGTGGTGCTCTGGAGATGCTCGGGCTAAAGGGCCAAAGCAGCCCAGAGCTGCGGGAGCTTCAGCAGGCTTTCCGCCGACAGGCGCTAGAGATGCATCCAGACCGTGGTGGCAGCGCGGAGGTTGGAGCCTTGTACCACAGGAAGTGGCAACAACGGCAACGACCATTCAAGCAAACTTTTTCCTAGATGCAGGGCTTGGGGGGAAGTGTTTCATTCATATACTGTATGTGCAACTGAGGCTTTCCGCCAGCTGCTGGAAGCATACACCTTTCTTCGCCGATCCTTGAGACGAGGATTGCAAGAAAGAGGTGGGTCTTGGAAAACGTTTCCAGTTTCTCAAGTTCGAACAGGTTTTTGCTTGACTGTCGGCATTTTCTATCCTGGTAGTCTGGGGAGTTACTTGATGGGTAAGATTCATGACTCCAAGCCCCACAGGTTAAGGCACGAAGGCAGGTGGATCACTTTCGATCCTGGGGCTGCGAGACACTTGCGGGCCCACAAGGGTTTTCTATTGGCACTTCCATGCACTTCCACTTTAGCATGACATTGCTCTTCAATTTGTCTCAGGGAAACGTTTGAAAGAGGGACGTGAGAAGTGGAAGAAGTGGGAGGAGGAGGTGGAAGGAGGGCAAGAGCTTGCACAGGACGGCATGTCCTTTCGAAGCTGAATTTTCTTTATGTCATGTCGTGAATGTGCAGTTTTGGGCATAGGAAGGCGACATAGTGTATTGGCGGAATGCGCAGGGTGAGCCTTGGCAAGTTGCTACTTTTCCGCAGTGGGTGTGAAGGCCAACCCAGGACTCTCCTGTGTTTGTCGAGGGTGATGAATCGGCATCACCACCAAGGTGAACCATGTGATCCAGCACCTTTTGGCTTTCAGCCCTTTTCAGGTCCTCTCACCCTTCCCCAAGATGAGCACCATGCAACTGTCCTCCTTTGAGGTGTCCCAGCCCGAGGAATCCATGGATGATGTGTTGGATTGACCACAAGAGAGGTCATTGCCCATGCAGCCCATGACAAGAAAAAACATCAAGTTGAAAGGGCAACCGAGCGGCCCCCTATCAGAAACAGTAAAGCATGACACTGAGCTCTTCGTGGACCACGGGCATTCCTTTTGCTCTGAGGCTCTCGTTCTGGCTGTGCAGGTTGTCTACGAGCCGTCCAGTGGTCCCCACGGCCTGCTTCTGAGAACGTCTTCTGCTGCCCCACGAGCAACTATGCTCAAACATTCACACAACTGAGGTTGGATTTACTTGCAATCTCTGATCCAGACTTCGGACGGAACCTTTGATGCGGATGAAGAGGCAGAGATGGAGCAGGCAGAGTTTTCACTGGCGAGACTCAACAGGGTCCGAAGGGCCTCAAAGGGTCTCAAAGGGTCGCAAAACATGCAAAGCACTTCCAGGTGGAGCCCGTGAGCTTGGACGGAGTGAATTGGGCGTTTGCATCCTCAGAGGAGGTCGGAGAGCACGCTTGGAGGGTCAGTCCTCCTGAATACTTGCCGCCTTAGCGTGAAAAAAAGCAGCTATTGAAAGCTTGAGCTCAATGAATGTGCTGCCAGCGCGGGCTCTATGATTTGTACTGGATTCCAATGATTTGAGTCGTGGTACCTCTTGTTGATCTCCTAGAAGCTTGGATCAAGGTCTGAACACTTGCCAGCTGCAGCAGCATAGTCGCTTTCAACTGCCAAGAGGGCATAACTTCAACATCAGTTCTCACGAGGGGTTTTCTGAGCTGAGTGGCTGCAAGACTGCTAGCTTGTGGCGATTTTGTTTCTATGCATTCATCTATCACAGCATTGAATATAAGAGTCGCAGGATCCCTTATTTTCCTCCACTTCATCCCATGCCGTCGCCCACCTCTGCACTCTTGCAGCTTAGCTAGGAAGAATCAAGTGGCAGGTCTCCATGTCATGTGGCCTGGGAGACTGAGCATGTTGTCTCAAGCCTTTTGAAACCTTTTTCTGCAAACGGTGCGGATATGTTTTGTCAATTGAATTCGATAATTTATCCTCTCTTTCTCACAGCATGACCAGACGCAAAGGACCCTTGGATAAGGCTAGCTGCCTGGTGATGTTGATACGCAGGGAAAGCTCTTCATTCACGCGTTGAAGGTGTGAACAGGGTGGAAAGTTTGCGAGCCAGATTGTGCAGCACTTTATGTAAATCGTATCCGTCGGAATTTGTGGTATCCTTTACTTTCACTGAAGGAATCCAGCATCGGCAAACTCACTGGGCCACATGACGTGACAAAAGGCAGACCAGGTAATATTAATATATATATATAGATAATATATATATATATATGCAGATGGTATTGGACGGCATGTGGGTTTAACACAAGGGTGACTCAGTGTCGAGCCAGTCGATTGCGCTGTCCGAGGCCGGTGGCAAACACCTTGGCGGTGGGTGTGCGCAGCTTCGTTCTGTCTCCCTGGCGCGAATTCTCAAGAGAGCATTCAGCCAGCGCTGATTCTGAGACTATACAATATAACACGCCGTGCACGTGCATGTGCGCATGTGACACTGTGAGACTCTTGAATCTCCATCAACTTCAGTCATGCTTTTTGCCGTCTTGCCTCTATTTGCAGGCAGCAATACTACACCTTTGAGTATGACCTTGGTCTTTGGGCCTTTGGCGCTGTCCAGGTCATCAAGGCAGGAAACATGGAGTGGGCCATTTGGCAATTTGGGGAGTGTCTGGCAGATCAGTGTATTGTGCTGGCTTTCCGCCGAGCAGGATCGCCGGTCCGGGACACTGAAGACGTGCCTTGCTTCTGAGTGTTTGATGAAGCGGAAGACTTTTAAAGTGACTTTTGAGAACTACCACTCTGCTGCTTCTTACGGTCTCCAGAGGCTGTTTTCACCGAGGTGCAAAGCTGTGGAAAAGACACGGCTCATGGATGTGCATGGGACAGGTGATCGGCTCCGCCGCCTTACAGAGATTCAGCATCCAATGCTGTTGCCTGTAACAGAGTCTTGGTTCTGAAGAGAACTCCTCCTGGCTGCGTCTGGTGGCTGGCTGATGCATATAGATATATATTGCTATTTTGTATATGAAGATCACTCTTGCAAGCTGTTCAAGGACATTTTGGAGGACTCATCCCACTTCTTTATCATCTCGCCCCATGCTGCCGGAGGGGATATGGGGGACTGGCTCGACAGGCGAGCGACGTGTCGTTCTGTGGGCTTGCCAGAAGAATTGTCATGCATCTCTACCATACTGGGTTTGTCGGAAGTCGTGCTATTTCTACATGTTTTCTTATGCTCAGCCATGTGGTAGCATTTGTATTACCGTCACTTGCACCTCACAATGCACACGTGCTCACACAAGACGCAGTGACAGCCGCGATCAAGTTTGGATCTTGTTTGGGGCGGCAGCGGCAGAGCTTTGCAAAAGACAAATCCGGGCAACACATTCTCTGGTCGTGCGGTTACGGTAGTCGTTACCCATGCTTATATAAGTACGCCAATTGTTACCTGTCGTGTCACAAGTGGAGCGAGTGTTTGCAATTTCAATTTCAATCTCATCAGTGCTGTGTGCAATGATGTGGCAATGGCTGCGCCGGCCATACTCTTCTGGGACTTGGTCTTGGAGGCTGCGTTCGGTGCGTCCTTGTCTTGTCCAAGTTCTTTTATTCCTCACTGGGCTTGAAGTTTCTTTTGCTTACAACATTGCAGGAGGATTTGCCAGAGGCACGGGGAGCAGAAGCTAGTGCCACCAGATGGTATGAGATCGTGCCAGTCAAGGCGCGATTGATATTCTTGGATGAACGGGCTGGGGCTGTCGCCCAGCACCCAAAAACTCCCAGCAGACTTCCCAATATGTACAACAGTGTGTGTCGAATCACGCCATAGGCTTATTTTGTGTCACAAGTGCCCACGGCAGTCGCTTCGTCTGTCTCCTGTCCCTCTGTTGTCTTTGCCAGCTCCTTTCATCTCGAGTCCAGTTATACATATATATATATTTACATTACGGTACGCATCAATATGATTCAGTATGTATCTATGGCCTTATAAAAGCAAGAATGTTTATTTATATTCCTATTCTATGTGTATGTGACAACTACCAATTTCTACACAAGCTACGGTTGTCTACCTTTCCATGATTGAACCTCTCGTCTTCAATACCTCCTTCAAGATTGTGGCAAAAGCCATATCCTGCGGTGCTTCCGGTGGCGAGCGCTGCGGCTTACACTTACACTCGCTTTGAGGTCACACTTTAGATTCATTTTGCAACAACCTCCAGCACAACAACATCACCATCACCGACTCCAGCGCCTATCCCAGCCAAATGGGCCAGCCCACTCACTCACTTGGCGTGTATGCCGCTTATAGCCTCAACAGTAACTTCCTCAGCCGGTCTCGAACAGCAATCACCCTCAGAATGTTCTGAGTTCCCCTTCTCGCCTTGCAGTCGGGAGATTGTTTGTCGATTTACTTCGTTTGGGAGCCTGTACGAGCGATGTGTCGTCATCCCCAGGATGGTGATTTGCTGGTCTTTGAATGTGCCGGCGGTGCATCACAGTTCCGCCGATTCAGTGCATCGAAGAAAAGCTGGGGTGAGGCGTGGTTGTTCAGGGGGCTTTCATAGGAGCATCAGGATAGTTGGGTTCAGCCTGCAGTTAGTTAGCTTCAGTCTGGGATTGCAAATGGAGATTCAGTCGCGCTAGTTTGCCAGGTCGAAGGGCTGCCTTTGATCACCGTACATGCGGCAGTGCAATCGCCGGCAAATCCGGAAAAGGAGGGAATGCTCAAAACATGTTTTGTGCGGGTTTCTTTGGCATTCAAGATGCTTGGATTTGATTTGTTTTCGTATGCTGTATGCTTTTAAAGGTGTGCATCCTGCATTGCCCGCTTCATTGGTTGTCTGATCATCGCTATGAGGCAAGGAGTAGCACACATGTGCGCATGTTCTGAACGAAGCAACCTGATCCGCATGTTGTTCATATCCAGAATTCATTGCACCATGCACGACTGCAACTAGACACTGTGCTCTTTTGCCAACAGTGGTGTGTTGGGTAAAAAGGGCTGGAATGGTTTGGAAGCGTGTCTCCGTAGGCAGCTGGTGATGCAAGATGTAATGAGATGTCAGAAGCTCTCCAAATCATTGAAATCGCGATGTCATCCAGTGCTACCGCAGGTTTACAGCATGGATGCAGCCCGGGACAGTGACCCAGCACTGGAGCCTTTGTCGTCTCAAAACTTCAACGACAAGGCAAGATGCAGCAATGCAATGTCCGCATATGCCCGCACGAACATCAGTGTTGCGCTACATATTCGCTTGCCCACCGAGCGTCTGCAAAACGCTGCCTGCAATTTAGATTCATAATGTATGAGAATGTATGCTTTGGCTAGATGCCGCAAGTAAGCTGTGTTTTGCACCCATCCAAGTTCACATGTACAGAAGGTGCAAGGGACTCGGACATGGATTGAACATGTGCATGGGTCACAAAGCTGGAAGGCCCGGGCCAAATTGGTAGAGGCAGGCATTGCGCCAAAGAAGCGACACCGCTTTAGCCTTGCACCTTATAAGAGTAGCTTCTTGGCATGACACAGGTCTTCGAGAGTCCTTCACCAGAGTGGCATGTTTCTTTCCCCGCTGCTGCCACCGGCCCTGTGACTCGCATATGAGGCTTGTTTTTCCTTTGTGGCCTTCAGCACTTTCCGGGTGATTCCACCGGCTCCTTCGTGTACTGCTTCAGCTACCTGACCCTGATAGGCCTTGCTATAAAGCGAGAGGCAATCGCACGAGCTCTTTTGTTAGAGAGGAGTTCGGACATGTTCAGGAAGATTTTTGCGACTCCTTCGGTTATTGCTTCAAGCATTCCAATACAACCAGTTTTCTTTTTTGTTTAATTTCTTTTCGTGGGCAGCCGTGTTGCACCAGTTCGTGTGCTTTCTTGAGGCTTGGACGAGCGAGTTTGGACTGAAGTTGAGCTGCTTGGCTGCAACTAGCGGAGAAGCAGGGCAATCATTCAAGATGTTCCTCCAACGCGCTTCCTTCAAACAGCTCGTCGTCCTTTCTGTGGAGCAGAGGTATCAGGGAAGCTTTCCAGCGACCCATCCACACCAGCCCTATTCTGGCTGCCGCTTCGGCTTCGACCTGAGACATGGCAAGAAGCGGATCGGCGGATGATTCACACAAGGGGATTCAGAAAAGGGATCACCAGAAAATGCATCACCCGGGATCTCAGAGCCTCTCAGGTCAGTCCTGTGTGGTTTATGGGGATTGCGCTTGGATCTTTGGGGGCTACGTTGCTGAGGCATGTCCCCCAGCGATTGGACACGGAGTCAGAGACATTGAGACATATTGAGACGCTTGCTTTAGGATGGTGGGGTGGAGCCTACCAACAGCCTTTTCAGCTTTGACCTCGAGGCTCCGAATGGGTTAGAGGTTTCACTCATACCCACCAGCCAGCAGTTGTTCTGCCAACTTTTTATTGGCTTCGCTTGAGGAGCACCGCTGGGAGGAGGTGGCCAAAATGTCTCCTGGTAAGCCACCAGTCAGGCACTCGGAGCTGCCTGAGTCTGCTGTTAACAGTCATTTCAACCATAGCTCCTATTGCAAGGCCATGTCGGGACACCATGCCGTGGCATTCGATGGAAAGATCTTCATATTTGGCGGCGATGAGGGGGCACAGAATGGCTACTGCTGCTTGGCAGTTGGCACGGATCAGCATACTGTCCACGTGGGCATTGGATACCTTGTTGCTTGTGCAGCCGAGGCTACAACATTGAGCAGGCCCAATGGTCACAGCTCCCTCCACTGCTTCTGGGCCCACAGTCAAGCAATGGCCGCGTGGTATATGCACTGGAGACAGCTGGAGTCGTGGCCTATCAGCAGGCGCATGGAGGGAAACTTTTGTGGCCCATATCTATATGACCAACCCTTTTTTTGGTGTGTGTGCGAAGTGGTTCAGCACGTTTGTCGTCGGAGGGCCCTGCGCACGATGGTGAGCAACACTATATGGATCATGGCCTCTTCAAGGTGTCCCGTGAACAGTTAAATCGAGCCGCGGTGATGCCCTCAGTGAGGTCAGTTCAGTTAGGTCCAAGTTGGCTGCCGAAGTCTCATCAGTTGGTCAAATGGCCGAGGAAGGGATGCCACAAATGAACAGGCAGATTCTGAACGAGCTGCCAGAATAAAGTAGAGATAGGGTGCATCCCATTACCGGCAACCGTCGGCAACAGATGATGACTTCATTGGGAATGGTCTTTACCAGCGATCATCATCCAGTGTTGCTGGTAATGGGATATGCCCAAAGTAGAGATTTTTCCTGCAGCAAGTTCAAACTTCTGAACTGTGGCTGATGCTGATGAGGTTAGCCCTTTTGGAAGAGGATGCATCTGCTGATGCCGAGTTCTTTGTGGAGACAGACCAAGTGCCACTTGAACTTGAACTGAGATGCAGCTCGGGAGTTCTCACACTGTCGAAGACGTTGCTTCCCAAACGGTTCACCCACCTTTGTCTCTCTCTCTCTCTCTGTCTCTCTCTCTGTCTCTCTCTCTCTCTCTCTGTCTCTCTCTCTGTCTCTCTCTCTGTCCCTCTCTCTGTCTCTCTCTCTGTCTCTCTCTCTCTGTCTCTCTCTCTCTCTCTCTGTCTCTCTCTCTCTGTCTCTCTCTCTGTCCCTCTCTCTGTCTCTCTCTCTCTCTCTGTCTCTCTCTCTCTCTCTCCCATGCTCTTTGCCTTTCTGTATGTGATTTTATGTTTTGGGTTTCAGTTGTGGCCCGAATGGGGGCCTTTGTAAAAATGCACGGGACACCACCACAAGTTCCTCCGACAAACCAATGCTGTAGATTCTTTGGCAGGACGACGATGGGTTGGGGATGATGCACATGAGACGCTGGTTTCAGCCTTTTGCCTCTTTGTGCTCCGAGGAAAGTGCCCGTGCATCGAACAGTGCTCAAACGCTTTGCCCCAGCTCTAGCGCAGCTGTTTGGAGAAAATGGTACAACAGCCAGGCTGAATCTCGGAGCCATTTAGAATAGTCCTTGGTGCAGAAGGACACTTCCTCAGATTAGCTTGATGACTTGATGTTCTATTCAATCCCAGGCCACATGTGAAGACTCGGATGGTGCGCCTTGCTTTCACTATAGATGAGGTGCAGCTATGATTCACTGTGCCCCCAAGCTTTTGTAATGCATGTTGCGGGCCTGTAGAT